GTTATTTGCAAACTGTAAAAAATATAACTGTAAATGTCGCATATTGCTAATTACTAAAAATTAATCAAAATATGCAAAAGTATTTTAAATTTAGTAAAATGTATTTAATAAAAACATGAATGAAACAGCTGTTAGCTTGCTAAAATCATTGTTCTTCTTTTGACTGACATTTTAATGTATATCGAGTTACTGTAGAAGTATCAAATTCTAACAAAATATAGATAATTTAATTTTGTGCAAACTTCCTAAATATTTCATTAACATTGGACAAACAAATGATTTGTATTTTATCACTTATGATTCAAAAGAAAAAACATTACTTACAAAGAGCATATATATTTTTTGACCCATTTGTGATGTAGATATTGATTTATTAATAACAACTGTACTTATATTAACTATTATTAGTATAAAAATTAATACACTAATATTTGTTTTCAAAGAAAACATTCAAAAACTTATTTCCTTGTATAAATAGCACACTTTTTGTTTGAGCAATGAAAAAAGTATTTTCCTCTTTTGAAATATTTCTTATTTTGAATAGTTTTAAAAAAGTAAGAAAAAATTAACTAAACCTGAGCTATTCACTTAATTATTAGACATTTCTTTAATTCATTAACATTTTTAAAACACATTTGAAAATAAACCTGTCACAACAGACATTTTTAACCTCAAAACAACTGTCAACAAAATTTTGACGTTTGAGTTTGACACTTCTACAATATAATTCAATTTTGACGTTTTGAAGTAACAAATCATGTATTAAAAATTGTTTTGGACTTAAATCAATATAATTAATTATAATATATAATATCACAATGTGTTGAAAATGTATTTAACAAATATTTGTTTAGAATTATGCCCAACAGTTTTGTCAAAATATTTATATTCAAACAAACATTAACTACTTTGCCTTCAAATTAAAATATAAAACATTATTTAGTACTTACCTGATCACAAAACAGTACACTTTAACTTCAAATCTATTTACATTTGCGACATGGATAATTATTATTATGATAAAGTAAGTTGTTCAACCAAATCCCAGACAGCACAGACTGTTGATTTATTTTAAAAATATTTACAACAGGAATTAAACAAAGAGCATAGAACCTATATTTATATAGACTGGTAACATGGTTTTTAGTATCAACATACAGCAGTTAAGTTTAGTTTTCTTTCCATTTCTATTATCTGGATTGTTTTTATCAACCACATATATATATAAAATTAATTAATAAAATAACATTTGCTAATTTTAATACGCACATAAATTTATTTCATTGAAATTATACAAATGAAATAAAAATATTAATTACTAATTAAATAAAATATACAAAATATTTCTACATCCCTCTCTTGCATGCAAAAATGTATATGATAGAAAAATTATCTAAATTCGCAATAATAACATCAAATTCATATTATTCAACAATAGTTCATATTATTAATAATATAATGTTAAAACTAAGAAATTATTTGGACTAATTATATTCAATTATTTCATTTATACATATAATATGCATATAATCACCTCTCCTTGACCACACCATTGAGATCCATATAAATGACCTCAAACATATTATTGAGGGCAGCACAAAATTTCCAAAGAAGACTCAAAACGCAAAAATTTGTCAGAAGATTCCCAAAAAATGCAAAAAAAAAATTTTGGAAAAAAATATTTTTTGGAAAAAAAAATTCTGGAAAACAAAGTTTTAGCCGTTTTATTTATATGAAATATTTAAAGATATCCACGGATTTTTTGACTAAGTTTTTGTGGTATTATTTTCAAATATATTCAATATTATCTATCCACGCATTATCCACGGATTTTTGGATATCTTTGAATATTTTATTTTATTAAATATGCCAAAACATCCACATTTTTCACCCACTTCAATCTTGTTGAAAAATCAAAGGCTATAATTTTTTACTCACTTCAATCTTGTTAAAAAAAATTAAAGACTATAAAGACATTGAACCAGTCTTCCAAATTCGACGAATACGATCACTTCTCACTGCAACATGCAACAAACAAAACTGACAGCCCCCTGGTTCTAGATTATCCAAACAGAAACATACGACTTCGGCTTTAATATTAATATTAAATGTGGAATATAAAATATTTTATATGTGCATCAGATGAATTTAATTTTTATTTTTAAATTTTAGCTTTTTATATACTGATCACGGAAAAAGATGTGAGGATGAAGTCACACACAAAGTACTGTAAATAGATTCACATGTTAATATTACAGGACTTAATTGGTTTCTTTATTGTATAATAATTGGCTACGGCTAAAAATCATTGCACACAAACTAGCATCATGATTTTTAATATTGAATTCCTCTGCAAAAAGCGATCATTTTTCTGAGACTATGTTAAAACTAGTTGGTATTGGTATTTTGCCTTGAGACAAGTTACATGAACTTCCCGAAATGTATAAATGATCGATTTAATTAATAAAAAATAAATTAACTTATGAGTGATTAAAAGTATTCCGAGTGGATTTATTACCCATAACGAACACGTTAACTCAGAGTATTTTCTAAAAGCAAATTTTCAAAAATAAACCATTTTTATAATTGAACCATTTTCCGTAGGACTTTAATGGTTTATTAGTATATGTGCATTGAGACCAAGTACTCTAGCATTATACCAAGCAAATCGTCTAATTTTAATTTGAACAAACATCGAAAAAAGTAACCATTTTCTCAAACTTTGATGAACTTTTAACACTACGACAACTACATGCCGTAAGGCCGTAATATTTCAGTAAGTTCTATAAGGCCATGATATATATCACCAAAAAAAGTTCCATAAAAATCGGTTTAAATTTCTTTTTCAACAGTTAATTACAAGAAAACAGTTCGGTAGATTTTCCCCTAAAACTAATCAGTATCATTCTCAACTAATATCTTTCGAAAAGTTTTTGATTTAAAATCGATTCGGTAGTATGAGCTTAAATGTGGACGAAAGGTTTACCACTTTTTTACAAATTACAAAGAAACGGCTTGGCAGATCGTCGCACAAAACTGACGAACGATAGTCCTCATTGAGATACATCAAATGGCTTTTAAATTCCTGAAATCGGTTCAGGCGTTTTTGAGAAAACGTCGATCAAAGGTCTAATTTTGACAAATGCCAAAAAAAACGATACTAATTTTTGCAAACTTTGACGAATTTTTAAAATTTAAACGACTTGTCGTAGGGCCGTAATATTTTAGTATGATCTATAAGACTATGGTATCTACCGTGAAAATAATAATAATAAAAATCGTCGAAAAAAAAAATTTAACACGTTATTACAAGGAAACGGCTCGGCCGATTTCTACCAAAAACTAATCAGCACGATTCCCAACCAATATCTTTGGAACGGTTTTTGAATTTTCAAAATCGATTCAGAATTGCGGGCTAAAACGTGGACGAAAAAATTTTCACTTTTCTGCTATTTATAAGGAAACGACTTGGCCGATCGTCGCCCAAAAGTGACAAACAATAATCCTCATCGAGATACATCGAATGGTTTTGAAGTTTTGAAAACGTCGATTTACGGCAAAAAATCTGTTCACACACACACACATACTTTTTCCTAATAAGGTCCCATTCGATTCAGAATGGCTTGAAACGTCAAGAAAACCAAAAATTAGCAAATCGGATTTTTTTATGAAAACATAAACTTCTCCTTCGGGAAGTTAATTAATTATTGTTTGTTAATATAGTATTTTTATTTGAAATTAATTTGGAAGATATATAACAATATGCATTTAGTTCTATGAGTGGATTTTTTTAAAATCGAAATAACGAAATTTTGAATTAAAAATTTTATTTAAAGAGCAAAACTTGTCAAAATTAACTCTTAATTGCTCAAGCAACAATATTTGTTAAAGCTTTTGTTACCTTTTATTATAATTATTTTCAATTATCTACATTTTCTTAGATATATTATTATTTGTGCTTGAGTTATATTTTATTGTTGCACAAAATGTATACGCAAGTGCACATGCAAATGCAATTTTAGTATTAGAGTTTAAAGAAATTTTGGTAACGAAAAAATTTGAATATTTTTATGGATTATAATTTATTAACAAGTATGATTACATTATCAACATTAATACAATGACATTGTTAAGTTATTTTATATATTATTTTCTTCGTATTATATTATATCATGTTGTGAAACAAAATCAGGGATTCGGTCTTAATTAATTACATTATAAAGAAAGATAAATTTATATATAAATAAAATATGACATTCGTTACAAATATAAAATCTAGAAGTAAGGTGAAAGAAAGAAATTGTAAGATGTTTTATGAAATAATATTTTAATTGCACTTCAATTTACTTATCAACATAAGTATTCTGACATGCTATTTCTGTCCAAATTATATTTAATCACTTAAAATACGTGTAGTCTGCAATTTGTTAATATTAGATAAAAATAAGTTTCATGTGAATGTTATTGTATTATGGATTTCATAAATTAATATTTATTTATAGTATATGAATCATTTTCAAAAATATTTTTTAATTGCAATTTACATATTTACAAATTACATAGAACTGTTCATAATGATATTAAACAATATGTACAGGCCCGAAATTCCACTAGTATGCAGGGAATAATCGACTTTATTTACATCTACATTATTGAGAATAAATACTTTTGACTCTCAGCAATAATCATCTTTGAAAATAAATTTAATCCAATATAAATTTATTGCAACTATACAATTGTTCAGCAAAATTGTTAATATTTTAATCATCTTGTGTTTTTTATAAGATAATATGTTGGAATTCTAATATACCTATGTGAGGAAAACAATAAATTATTTATAAAAGAAAATATTAATATTGAATGTATAATACTTTTTATACTTGAAATAAAAAAATATAAAATGTCAAAGAATGAAAAGAATGTAGAGGCAAAAATATAGAAGTATAAATATTGTCACTTTTAAGAATAGAAAATATAAAATTTAGGCTCATTCTATCTTAATTTAGTGTAACTAAATACTTATACTTTCCAGCTTTTTAATATATAATTTTCTAAAATTGATAAAATCTTGGGAGTTATTTTCAACTATAGTGTTAAGTGTGTCTAATATGTACAACATTTATTAAAAATTGGAATGGTCAGTCATTCAAGAATCATTTATGTAATATTTATGAACCCGAATAGATTTATAATTTTTTTTAAATAAAAAAATTAAAACAAATTAATGACAACAGATTAAAATAAATAATAATTTAAAAGAGTGTGTCATATAAATAAAATTGAATTTTTTGTTACATTTTATGTTTGGAGAAATAATTTTGTATATACATTTCTCCAAACCTTCTTATCTTATTAAATGCCGAGGTCATTATTTTGTCTATATGTGCACCACCTTTCAAACATTAGTACCTAAAATAAGAGTAATATAATGATAATCCAAATATGAAAGAAAAAATCAAAACACATACCTGTAATAATTAGGTTTAAAAGGCCCAGCCTTATTTAGACCCATATATTTGGCTTGCTCATCGGTCAGCTCTGTTAGATGAGCATCAAATGTCGGTAAATGCAAACTAGCCACATATTCATCTACAACATGTAATATAGTTTATATTTATTTTTTCAGTTCAAATAAATTAAAGTAATTAAACTAAAAACTAATTCTACATGTGACATTTTTCACACTTTTATTTATTTAAATTTATGTTATTATTTATCAATATTACTAGATGTTAATAATTTAACAGTTGTAATAATTATTGAAATTAAAAAAAAAAAAAAATTATTAAAGCAAGTTGCTTGAACATCTCGTTACGTGTAAATAATAATAATTTATAATAATGTGCCCATGCAAAGACATAACTATACAACTACACGAACCTAAAAGCGCCTCCCGTAAATCCAAATTTTAATAAATGCTTCTAATCATACCACTTTTCGTTCGGTTATAATATACGAGAATGTTTATTATGACATCATACAAAGTTTTAAGAAAGCCATCAAAAAATTGTTTTACAACAGTAAGTTACGAAGAACAGATCATTACAAAAAACTAACTATCACGATATAACATCAGTTGGGACCCTTACCTTTCAAACTAAAATAAATTAAATATAATATATAATAAATTAAATATGATATGAAATGTAATTTAAAATAACTAATACTATTTAAGGAAACAAAAATCAAAAATCAGTTTTTTTAAATAAATCTTTTTCAGAATTACTGACTTGTAATGAAAACAAGTAATTCGATTATATTATATCATATTTTTAACTTCCCGTAGGAAAATTGTAATGGGCCGAAAATCGAAATTGAAAATTTTTACATTTCTCGACGTTTTGAAGGTTTCTGAACGTTTTGGCATACCTCAGAAAAAATGGATGTGTGTGTGTGTGTATGTATGTATGGATACAAATTTCCAGTCATGTTTTCGGGCGCACTGATCAACCGATTTGAATGGTTCAAAAAACATTCGATTCCTATTGATAGGGAAAAGAGCTGATTAGTTTTTGGCGAAGGCAGGTCCAGCCGTTTCGGAGATACGGAGCAAAGAGTGCAGAAAAAAGAAATCGACTTTTTGAGAGAACGGAGTATCCGATTTGAATGATCTAAAATACATTCAATTAGTAATGATTGGGAGAAGCGTCTATTAGTTTTTGGCAAGGGAGGCCCAGCCATTTCGAAGATACGGAGCTGAATATGTAAGAAATGGCAGTTTTTGAGAGAACTAAGCGTCCGATTTAAATGATTCGAAGAACTTTCTGCTTGTCTTAACAAAATAATTGATTTTGGAAAAAAAAAATTTGTATGATTTTTTTTTTTTTTTTAGTTTTTTTTGTATATCGAAAATAATTCAGATTTTATTTTTATTCTGACTAAAGTTCTAATATAACTTAAACAAATAATTTTAAATTTGCAATTCAGTTTATATACTTCTTATAAATATTAGACAATGTTACAATATTTATAAAAATCTATTTGAAAACATTCAGTATTCCTCGAACATTTCGTTACGGTACGGTAAGTTCCAGCAATTTGCCTTAAAGCACGATGCCACCCACCCCACGGCAAACTGGAAAATGCAATCATTTGAAGTCAAATGGAAGACCAGTCAGAATCATTGGCATGTCACCAAATCGCCAGCAATTTTTGATTGAATGATGAAATTAAGGGCGTGTACATCATTATTCTTTGCGGCAAGTATTGCTCGTTGACTTAACGAAGTATAATTCTGATAATTCTCACTAATGTCATTACTCGAATTTTTAATTACGGTGCGTGAAGTTCCAGCAGCTTGCATTAAGGCACGATGCCATGCACAACTAATTTTCTCAGCTATAAACCTTGCGGAGCCCGAGACCTTTCCAACGAATGCAAAATTGTCGAAATCGGTTTATGCGTTCCGGAGTTATATCGTCAAGAAGGAAAACCCGACTTATTTTTATATATATGTAGAATATGTAGATAATCTATTTGAAATTATTTAAAACAATTGTTGATTATTTTTATTACTCGAATGTTTAATTACGGTGCGTGAAGTTCCAGCAATTTGCATTAGGGCACGATGCCATGCGCTACTAATTTTCTTAGCTATAAACCTTGCGGAGCCCGAGACCTTTCCAACGAATGCAAAATTGTCGAAATCGGTTCGTGCGTTCTGGAGTTATTTCGTCAAGAAGGAAAACCCGACTTATTTTTATATATATAGAAGATAATCTATTTGAAATTATTTAAAACAATTGTTGATTATTTTTATTACTCGAATTGTTAATTACGGTGCATGAAATTCCAGAAATTTGCATGAGGGCGCGATACCATGCACCCCTAATTTTCTTAGCTATAAACCTTGCGGAGCCCGAGACCTTTCCAACGAATGCAAAATTTTCGAAATCGGTTCGTGCGTCCTGGAGTTATTTCGTCAGGAAGGAAAACCCGACTTATTTTTATATATATAGAAGATAATTTTAAATCTAATAATGATTAAACAAATATGAATGTAAAGTGAACAAACCCATTTTTTTCGGTAGAAGATATACATCAGACTTATAGCGTCCACTAGGAGCATTGAACAATTCTATCAAGGCCAATGCTTGAGTCGCTGATGTTATAGAAACAACAAATGAAGGAACACTGGAACATGATAGGTTCACCAATCTTCCTTCTGCAAGTAACACAATTCGTTTTCCATCAGGCCAGATAACATGATCTACTTGAGATCGAACTTTCTCCCATGTCAGATCAGGCGTTCTTAGGCTATTCTGTTGAATAGATGATATAAAATTAGTAAAATCAGAGTACAATAGCTCAATAAATGTGATGAAACTAATGCAAAAGATAACTAATTTGATGTTATTCGTACGTTCTATAAAAAAAATTTAGACTTATCCGAACTTATTGAATTTGTCTTAAACAAATTTCCTTTGAATAAAATGAGTGCAATAACTTAGCACGTGGTAAATATATAAATATCTTTTCGCTAAAAGCAAGTAATCGCAAATATAATTGTTGTTGAAAAAAATGCATGCAAAATGCAGGATCTAGAGGTAGTACAGAAAGCTGCTCAGAGAATGAGGATATCTTGCAAAAAAGGATAGTGTTGGATAGCACTTATTCAATTATTACAAAAAAAATCATATAATTGATGTAATGTATATTTCTTCTTTAAAAAAAATTTAATAAATATAACAATATTTATTATAAAATCATGATACGTAGCATGTTTTTTTTGTACTAGTTCTTTGTCCCGTATAACACGGATTTGCATAACACGCTACTTTTTTGGAACGTAACAGCCGTATTATGCGGCAGGTAATAATATACATATATATAATAATAATAATAATAATGGGTAGTACTGCCCTAAGGCAGGTCTGTGACCTGAGTTAAACTCGATTCAGGGAAGAAGTAGTGTGAGTTATATATTTATATATATATATATATATATATATATATATACCTACACATACGTGATACTTAAGAAACAGTAACTTAATCAAGAAATTACTTGAAAAGTACATTAAAAAACACTTACAACATCAATTTCTGTATTAGAGTGTCCCATGTTACAGACGACACAGCCATTTTTCATTTTATCCATATGCTCCCTTGTCACAACATTTTTATTGCCAGTTGCTGTTACAACTATATCAACATTTCTTATAACTTCATTTAATTTCACCACTCTGAAGCCATCCATGCTATAAGACATTATTTGGCAAATCAAATAATATATAATGCATATATTCAACTTTTTGTGAAATTTACTTGATTTATTTTTTTTATAATAAATAGCATAATGCAAAAACTTTAATAACATCTGCAAATAAATACTTATGAACGAATTCTAAAAAAATCAAATCAATCAAATTTAAGTTTAAGTCGAGTAAATTGTAAGATAAGATTTGTTGAGCATCCTAAATTTGTAGTGTTTTGTAAAATGGCACATGCAGCACATCTCAAGAAAAAAAATTATGTACTGTGTTGCATTTCTTAAAGTTTATGCTTTTTCTATCAAAACCATTCAAATTCAATTGTATATACTATTACTTAATATTAATTGAAATTTTTAATTTATTTGAATCATGTATTGTTAAGAATATAAAAACCCATTTAGATTTTTGTTCAAAATGAATAACTAAATAAAAATGAACAAAGATCTCTGTTCTGATCAAAAGTCAACTGTTACATTTGATTTATTAGATTTTGGTGTTAAAATGTAAATACTTACCTAGCTTGTAAGGCACAAATAGGATCTATCTCTGTTATATAAACTATGCAACCAAGACCTTTCAGAGCTTGGCAGCAGCCTTTACCAACCTCTCCATAACCACATAATACAACTTGTTTACCACCAAACATAACATCCGTTGAACGCTTCAAGCTAAAATTAACAAATAAAATAAAAAAAAACATTTAAATAAAATATAAATTACATGCTATTAATTAAAATTAATTTTAATTGAATATGAAAAAGCAATATATGAAAAAGCTGAATAATCTGAAGCAAATTGAATACCACTTTGATTTTATTGTATCAGTTTCTCCAATAAAATTATTTCACAATTAGTACCTGTCAATAATTGATTCACGACAGCTATAAAGATTATCAAACTTCGTCTTTGTAACTGAGTCATTCACATTCATGGCTGGTACAGTTAGTTTACCACCTTTAGATAACTGATATAGTCTATGTACTCCTGTAACACTTTCTTCAACAATTCCTGAAAATAAATTGTTATCTTACTTTCTCATTTTCAACAAAAATATTTTCTGCCTTAGTATCTATTCGGGACCTCCAACGTACCTTTGATCATTTTAAACATGGTTGGATACTTTTTTAGCATCAAATGCGTGGCATCACCGCCGTCATCTAGAATCATATTTGGTTGCCAATTTTCTGCGTTTACACATTTGTCGATGCACCACCAGAAGTCTTCTTCTGATTCACCACGCCATGCAAATACTGCAAATCCTGCTTCAGCCAATGCCGCTGCGACTTCATTCTAAAAATTCAAGGAACGCCACATGAAATACCAGAAACTTATTAGTCAATTATTTTTATTTAAAAAATTTGGCATGAAGTTATGTTTTTTAAATGTTCAAAAAGATATGTACTATTAGAATTTTTTTAATATGGATATTTGTTTACAAATAATCAATATATTAGTTTATTATATCTTTTTTTTTTTTAAAGGACTGACACTGATCAATATCAGATCCGCTTGACTAAAGCGTGCTTTGGACTAATGAAATAATTTCCTCTCACATATATAACACATTTATTAAAAGTGTATGGAAAACTTCCTTGCCGAAGTATTCCTTGTGATATCAATTTAATGACGTTTTTAACTTCCAGTGGTGAATTATAGTAAACGCAAAAAAAATCAAAAATCAAAATTTTTGCATATCTTTACGTTTTGAAGGTTTCTGAACATTTTGGCATACCTCAGAAAAAATATATATGTGTGTGTATGCATATGTGGATACAATTTTTCGACCACGATTTGGGGCGCACGGATCAACCGATTTGCTGATTCAAACTACATTCGATTCATATTGCTGAAGCGCTGGTTATTTTTTGGCGAAAACAAGCCCACCCGTTTCGAAGATACGGGGCAACAAATGCCAAAAACGGTAATTCAGTTTTTGAAAGAACGAAGTGTTTGAATTTTTGGAAAAACTGGTTCAGCGGTTTTGGAGATACAGAAGAAAAAATAAAAAAGAAATGCAAAAATGATCATTAGACATATATTAATCAAATTATCAGATATTTTATAGTAATTTTAAAATGAGTACTAATTTTTTTACAGTTTTCTTAGATTCTGTACCAAGATTTTTAATTTTTAAAGTTCACTTATAAGGTTCACACAAATTTCAAAATTTTCAGAAAAGAATTTTTCTCAAAATTTTCAAAAATACGCATACAAAGTTTTCTACTTTGAATATAAATTGTAAACTTACAATTCATTTTAATTATATATATATATATATATTTCATATGCGTAATTCTAATCGTGAGGAATATATCCTCAGATTGATTCATTGTAAACATTCTCAAGTGCTTTATGCGATAAGATCGTCGCTACATAATATGAGCGATATATAGTATTGATAATTATTTATTTGAAAATATTTATAACAATTGTTATTAATCATTGATCAATATTTATTGATCACTGATTTTTTCCTCGAATAATTAATTCTGGTACGGAAAGTACCAGCAATTTGTCTTAAGGCAGAGTGCCATGCACCACTAGTTCTGAATTTGATGTTGAGTATCTATAATTTATACGAATTGTTGTATTTATTTGTCATATTTATTATGAATGTACTAAATAAATTTAAAGAAGATATAATGCGCAATGCTTACTTGTGTGGAATAAATGTTGCAGGCGGCCCAACGAACTTGTGCACCAAGTACTGCAAGTGTTTCAATAAGTACCGCCGTTTGCGCATTAATATGGGTGCAGCCTACAATTTTAGCATTCTTCAAAGGCTTATCATCGCCAGCTCTTCTTCGCAAAGCCATGATTCCAGGCATTTCTGACATAAATAAAAAACATATATTGTAAAACAAGGTATTTTAAATATCAGGGAATGTCATACATTGGCATCATTATAAACATGAATCGCTTCCTACGTTAGTGTTCAGTCTTAATTAAATAAAAGGTGCGAATTTTATAAATGTCTGATTTTTTGAAAAAAAATCAGTTTTTTAATTGCGCTTATCATTAGTTTTAATCTTCTTATAACGTTAACACAATGATTTACAAATCTGAACAGTTTGAGAAATTATTGAGAATTAGTAGTAGAAATAGTATTTTATAATTATTATATAATAATTACAAAACGAATAAAACATTTTTTTTACCATAGTTGCACTACAGTTTCTGCAATCATATTATCGCATACGTTAATTTGAAGTCGATTCGAAGATAAAAGACATTATCAAGAAATCTAATCATATTAATGACTAATTAAAATGCGATGAACAGATTATCAGTAAAAGCTAATTCACCATTTAAAGAGCGCTAAATTCAAACACCTATATTCCTTAATTGTACCAAAAATAAAGATTCAAAAAATGTAAATACCTTGTTCGGCAATTTCGATTTCTCGACGGCCAAATGCATGTTGATCAATGTTGCGCACGCAGAAGTCTGCATGGCCGCTTGAACTTTTCTGTATTTTTTCTCTTGGTGAAACATCATCATCTTCAGAGCTGCTAGCTACATGCAAAATATGTTATACAATTTCCAACAAAAAAATTAATTTGATTTAGAGCTCAATTTCAGACATAGCCCACGTGTTCATATTAGGATGGCAAAAAGTATAATTGATTTACGCAATATTTCTTGGTCGTTGCCCATTTGAATGCAGAAAGCAATAAATCATCAAATAGTAACAATAAAATTCCCAATACAAGGCAGGAAAAATACCTTGCATATCAAAAAATATATTGGAAAGACGCCAGTGCCAATACTGGTTTTCAAAATCTTCTCCCGGAAATGTCTAAGGTAAGATTTAAAAGCTGATAAACACATGATATAGATTAGGTTATGCAAACCGGTAAATTACCACAAGCAAGGATTGGTTTAAATTATCAAATTCAACTGTTCAAGACCACTTCAAAAACCTGATTCAATCTCGAAGCTTAATATATATGGATTCCCATATTGATAGAAATATATTTTGTAAGGGTTGTTTCGTTTACTTCTCAAACGTCAGGAAAATCATCCATATGTGAAGAGCGTCATCACTGTGGACGAAAAATGGGTTATGTATAACAACGACAAAACAATTATTCATTATACGAAAACTTTTGACATAAAGAACTAAGCCATGTATAAACAAAATAGTTAATTAAATAACCATTTTTATGAAGTATTTAGGTATAGTATATTTATAAAAAAAGTCAATGTTTGGGACTTCGACAGAATTCAAGAAATCAGTAAAACATGTTTGGAAAAAAATTCATGAGTAAGTCTCTGGAATTATTTTCCAAAAAAGAAAAAAATGTTTGTCAGAAATAATAAAACAAACGTTGAGATTAATAAATATTGGAATTAAAACCACGAAACAATATGTATAAAATTCTGAAAATATAATTTTAGATAATATTTGTTATAAATAATTAATTGATACTTAAAATCATGAAGAGTTATTTACCTGAACTATAAGAATCAGTTGAGGACGCCGACAGAGACCTACTTCTGTACCTCGAAGTTTTCTTGAGTGCTCCTGAAGTTTTATTGTCCTGAAATTTAATACCTCACGTTACAATACTAAAATAAAATATTCAAGGAACAACATACTACATAATAATTTCATCGTTGTACAGTTTTTATACGGCGCATTTGAACATGTTAAAAACCATTGAAGGAGCGAGTACATGAAACACATCTTTTTTTGAAACTGCATTCAAAAAGTCACGAAAATTAACATGTTTTCCCATTTTTTGAATCAAGGGTTGATTAGAAACGATTGCAACCCAATGGAGCGCGGGGGAGAAAAGTTCGGTGGGCATGTCAAAAAACCGCTCAGTATTTACTGGAACAGCCTTTAATCTTCTATCTTTTAAAGTATAGCCCAGTAATGCCTTCTATTGACAACGACGCCCATACAGGAATCTTGGGGTTTTCGTGCTTCAATTTAAGATTAGTGTCACTCCAATACCTGCAATTTAGTCTGTTTACGACTACGTATTCAGTGGTGGAAGTGCGCATACCTTATCAATTGATACAGTATAGTATAATTTGTGGAGGAATGTGGTGATATTAAATTTTAGGTTTTATTTTCACACAATTGATAAATTGTCTTTACAGCAAATTCTATGTAATAAAAATTTCGAAGAATTACATTCTACAATATTATTTGAATATATGTTAATATCTAAAAACGATATTAATTATGCATTTGAAATATTAATTAAATGAAAGAAAATGTGTTCAGATACTTACTGACCATATAATGATATGTTATGATTATTAAACATAAAAAGTAATTAGGTGTTCAACTATTTATTTTGAAAATAAAGACTTTTCATCAAAACATAATCGATGCTATTTCCACTTGATTATTATTCACGTTATTTGTATAAGATATCACAAACTTTCAAATTTTCAAGATTCATTATTTCAAACTTCTTTAATTAAAATTTCAAACATTTTTATAATTCAACCACTTTTCATAGGCTTCAATATTTAAAAATATTTAGTTCAGAAACATAAAATTAGCAAATGCCAAAAATTTACTTTTCGTGCGAATAAATAGTAATAATAATAATAATGAAAATAATTAAAGATTGTTCATACGGTGTTCATTGGGTATTTTTCTAAAAATATTATCAAAGACATGTAATTATCAATCTTTTTTTGGATTTTTCCAGTAATTAATTAGTTAATCAGTGTGTAAAGCCACCTTATGTCTTTGCTCTGCACATGAAGCTAAAAATAAATAATGGTATTTTTTAACGCAATTAAAAATAATCATTTAATTTTTAACACAAAAATAATATTAAATATTGTTTTTACATAAAATAATAATTTATTATACTTTAAATTAGACACGGTCGACTCAATAAACTATAATATAAGCGCAACTTCAAAATTACTTATCCAATTTAAAGAATAAGTTAATAATAATTCTTAAAAGAATCATATACCAATATAATCACCAATATTAATTGTATTTATCATAAATAATTAAACCTCACATTTATTATTAAGTAAGGATATATTGGAAAACTTCAAGAAAACACTTATTTTGCACCGGTTTTAAATATGGTATTTGCATTCGATTTTCCATCAAATGGTACTCACTTTAATAAACATTTTAAAATAAAAATAGACAACTGGGTTCCGGATACAGAAAGACACAAAAAATATTGTATAGTATCACAAAAAAGTAGTTCGCAAACTTCTTCTGAAAGAATAGAACGTATGTACAATATTATATACCCATTCGGCTAAATCAAACAATACCTGGGAGATTGCATCAATAAAATGGGTCTGTAGAAATCTGCTTACTTATCAGTAATAAATTCACAAGCGAGATAACTGAACAAAGTGTGATATCAAAATAATTAAGATAATGATACAAGTGCTGTTGACATTAGAAATTGATATTAGATAAGCATTTTACGTTATATTAATAGTATTGCTACTGAATGTTAAAAATATAATTAGCATCCACACAGACGATAGCCGAATTTAACTGTAACATCTACAGAAAATATTTTAGCCAAGGGCAACGTTATAAAATGTGAATAATGGATCAGCAACCCGACCAGCATAGAATCACAAGATTCTATTCTCGTTTTGAACAGCTTGATATCGAAGAGTAGTGATATGACTTTGCATTTGAAAATATAGATCCAAATATTATTTCAAGTGAAAATATCCATATATCACAACTCTATTACAAATAACCATATTATCACATCTTTATTACGAATATCCTCATCACAAAATAATGACCAATCAATAGGTTTCCTTCTAATAGCATTAGGAAATTAGGGAATTTTAGCCACACGTAATACTTTAAAAAAAAATGCAAGCAAATGGTAAAACATTCAGAAAATATAGTATTGCTTAATATAACACACTAATATTAGTATTAGTGGTAAGAAGTATAACTCAAATGATACAAAATTTTCGTTCACGCTAAACAAACCATAAAACTTTCAACATTTTTTCGTTCACTTTGATATCAATCAGTTTAACATGATACAACATTATACTAAGGACATTAGTTGCTTCAATCTAAAATCCAAAATTATTTTCGGCGCTTTTCCAGCTTATAAAATTATCGAATTTTTGGCAATTTGTATTGCGATCAATGTTACAATAAAAAAGCGACACTTTTCAATACCTCCAACTTTACAATAAAACTGTAGGTATCATTCTACAAGGTAACGTATACAATAGCATGGAATGCTATAATATTCAAAACTTTTAAAAATATGTTCATATTTGTCTATAATAGATAATGAGTTGTTACGTCACATAAAATGCCATAAAATAATCATAAAAGACACATCACAAAATTAAACTTAATGCATTAATATTACACGTGCAAATATTATATAAATATTACAAATATAGAAATACAAAATAGAAAATAGTACATTTTAGCGTTATTTCCAGAAGCGAATGATAATTGAAATGTTTTATATAGATTATTAAATCGACATACAAAATGCTTTCAAAACAAGAAAATGAAAAAAATTTGACTGTTCGATAAGGGTAATATATACGAGGTCTGTTCAAAAAGTACCCGGAATTTTCGTTTTTTCAAAAAAAATATTTATTTATTCGTCTACATTAATGTGGTCCCCTTCAAAGTTGTCCCCCCAGATATAATACACTATGCCAGCGTTTTTTCCAATTTTCGAAGCACCCTTGATATTCACTTTTTGATATGTCCTTGAGCACTCTCAGCGATTTTCTTCAATCGAGGAAAACCGCCGTCCTTTCATGGGTCTCTTCAACTTTGGGAATAGGAAAAAGTCACACGGAGCCATATCTGGTGAATTTTTGCACTTTGCAACACTTTATTTCATTTTTTACGCAAAATTTAATACAAATTCTTTGACTTTTCAATTCTTCCATTGTAAAAATCGCCGAGCTCAGAAAAACACGTCGAACCTTAGCGACTACCACAGACAAAGTAAACAGTGAATATAGCTGAAAATTTCATCATACTTTAGGGGCATGTATACCAACACAATAAAAAAAAAATTTTGACAATCAGACACTCCAGACCCGCGAAATTTAATTATTAGTAATTCCGGGTACTTTTTGAACACACCTCGTACGTAATAGCCGGTCAATTTAAACCTAAAATAAGGGTGAAGGTTACTATAATTCATAATGGGCTGTAACATGGCAAAATTATTTAAAACACAATTATAAAAGAAATCTCAAAATCCCTTATCGATCAGATGCGAGCTAAAAAAAAAATGGCACAGGGTCAAAGGTAAAAAAACGACCCTTTTGCGAATTTTAGCTAAATGGTCAGTTTTGAGATGATATTGTAGAGTATAAAATTATCTGCAAAAATGCATCAATACTTTTTTTGCTCAGAGCCACCGTTTTAAATATATATTTGGCTCTGAGGAAGATCTGAAGAAAAAGAAGAAGAAGAAGGAGAAAATCAAGAAAAACGATACGAAAAAGATGTAGAAACATTTGAAAATTATGACTCCCAGGAATAAAATTAGTTGCTTTTTGTGTTCCGAAACAAACAAAATCACAACAGACCCGTGAAATAACCTATTGGAACAACCACGTAAAAAAAACGAGCTAAGCACACTACCTTGAGTTGGCGTTTAAACGTACTTTTCAAATTTAAAACGGTGGCTCTGAGCAAAAAAAGGACGCATTTATTGTAGATAATTTTATGCTCCACAATATTGTCTCAAGTAATTTTGCGATAAAACTAACCATTTAGCTAAAAATTGCAAAATGGTAATTTTTTTTTACCTTTGACCATAATTGTATTTTAAACAATTTTGCAAAGTTACAGCCCACAAGAATTATTGTTACCTTGAATGCGTAAATTGACCGGGCTATAATATAAAACAGCAATAAGAAGAAAAGGATTCTAGTGCGTATTATTAACGATCAAAACGATCATGATATTACAGTAACAATAAACTAAAAATGGTTCAGACATTTATTTATACCAAGTATACCTATTTTCGATTGTTGTCAATAAGATTAATCGAATAAATATCAACCTGGCAAAAAATAGCATATTTCTTAATAATGGTAATAGACAATTATATGCGATTTAATATATGGTTCAAATCAATAGATTTAAACCATATAATAAATCGCATAATAAGATTAAACTAATAAAAAGATATACATCAGTAATAAAAGCAAAGCGAGTAATTAACACAAAGATTTCAAGAAATATATAAATATAGAGTAATGTGTAAAACGGTATGGAAATAAAAGCAATTTCGTGCAAAGACATGGCCAAAAATATAATCCAGTCAAGATATAAAATTGATTTTTTCAAGAATTATATCATAGAAATTTGAATAATTACAGTTTTAGTGCGATTGGCAAATTAACACTCCCACACACAAATTTATAAACACATAAGCATATATATACATACGGATATACACACATATGGATATAGAGATTTAATATATATATATATATATATATATATATATATATATATTAACTATTAGTGTATATATAGTAAGTTTAATATATGCTAACGATAAGTGAATAATTTGCACCACAAAAAACGAGCAGAGAACACCGACACAAATAGCCAAACGGTGCGACATTAAAGCTTACCAATGGAATGGATCTCTGGCCAATGACAGTGCTGACAGTGTTCAAAGCCTAAAACACGAAACGTATTAGCGAAATAAACATCGCAAAACAAACTAAAAAACCAAATAATTTTTGTTAATTTCTGCCAAATTTCTTTCTTGCATAACTTACAATAAGCTATGTTTTCGGAAAAACGGCTAAAACCAATTTGGATGGTTCAAAAAGCATTCGATTCGTATTTTTATGCCCCAGTCCATCCTATTGATAAATGTAGTTAATCGCAATTGGGTATGTAAACTATCACGTTTCATTGTACTCGAAATTTTAATAAAATCGAGATTTTTTAACGTACTCAGTTACAAATAGTACAAAATTTAAAATAGAAAGAACATAGTACTTTGGGATCGTTCAAGTATTACGTAAGCAGATTTATTACAATTACTTACCCCCCCCATCCCCCTTGTCAGCAAAAGTAAGCAAAGCTCTTACCCCCTACCCCCATGCTTACGTAAACATTTTGCAATTAATTTAAAAAATAAATATACTATCTATGACTAATCATCATCCAGACTCCCCTGCCCCCCAGGTCAACCCAAAATAAGCAAATCAACAACCTCCCCGCCCCCCGATAGTGCTTACGTAATACTTGAACGGCCCCTTTGGGGTTAAACATTACTATTACATAATCTCCCATCAACAATATTTTTTACTGTAATTGATTTAATCTTTTCAATACTTTACATTTGTTCGCTAACTTTTCGGAAAATAAAACATCATCGTAAAATGTTTTCTTTCTGTTCCGCAAAAGTATCTATAACATAAGAGGGCGTCTATTAATCACGTTAGCGAGTTTTTATGAATTTCCCAAGAAAATTAAAGCCAGTTAAAGACTGCAAAATTCTGAAAATTGTAATATGTCCAATACGATGATAAAATATATTCACAGACGCTCATATATATTCGTAAAAGCTCGTCATCATGTTATTTTACCTTCCTCTGACGAGTTTTCGAAAACTCAGTGGTGATGCACCATTTTTGTTGCTGCATTATTTGCATCTAGTTTTAAATTCCCAAAATTATGCCTTTAGTCTTAATTTTTCTAGACTAAGTTTCAAACGTTTTAATACATTTAAAAAATCAATTGCTTTAGATTTGGATCAATGTCTTTAGATTGAGAATTTCTTTAGAAGCTTCATCGATAAATTGTGGGATATTAAAATGAAAAACCAATAAGATAATAAAATTGTAGATTTCAACCTTTTTTTAAGTGAAACAGCTTCATTTTTATCACCTGCTTTGTAATATTATAGAATCATTTTTGTAAGTGCTTCTTGGATTTCGAAAAAAACTATCTTTTAAATAAAAAACGGTCATAATATTATGTTCTACTCATCTAGTAGGATTTAATGTTTTATTGTTTATTAAAGTTGATGAATCACTTTTGTTATCTACATATATATAAAATAAGTCGGGTTTTCCTTCCTGACAATATAACTCCATAACGCACAAACCGATTTCGCCAATTTTGCATTCGTTGGAAAGGTCTCGGGCTCCATAAGGTTTATAGCTTTATAGTGGTGCATGGCATAATAATGTACACGCACTGAATTTCACCATTCAATCAAAAATTTCTGGCGATTTGGTGACATACCAATGATTCCGACTGGTCTTCCGATTGACTTTAAACGATTGCAATTACCTCATCTTTCTCACGAAACCATCTGGTGGCGAAACGGAGTTCGTCGGGTTTGCTAGTTAGATATAAATCTTAATAAAATATTCGATCTTTTGTTTAAAAAAAACAAAAGTTAAAAAAACAAGTGAAAATCTGAAAAATCACCACAAAAACAAAACTCTGTGCATGTGCTTGAAATAGAAGATATTTGAATATATCTATGTTTTAAATATGAAGAAATACATCATAAAAATAAGACTAGGAACTTAAGGGGGTCTTCCTATGTGATGAGTTGAAAAAATCGATTTTTTTTTCTTTTCATATTTCGGTAGATTACACCTTTAAAATAACATATTAAAATTTCAAATCGATATCTCAAATAGTTTTTGAAAATTTAAAAAGTATACATATAGTATATAGTACAACGATCATTTTATCTTTAAACGCGTTTTTCTCAAAACTGTGTTTTTCAAACTTTCCTCCATTGTATCTCAGAAACGGCTGGACCGAATTACTTGAAATTTACAGGGCACACTCAATCTGTTTAAACGCATAGAATGAAAATTTTCAAACCTTCGATTTTTTTATAGCAAAAAACAAATAAAAAGCGCCTAATTTGCAACTTTTATTTCAAATGTCTATCAAAAATCCATTTTTTTTGTATTCATTTGATTATAGGTCATTCCGTGCTTTTAAGCCTACAAATTAAAACGCTGTTTATTTTTTTTTGGTCAGATAAGCCGATCAGCCGGAATCGTGGAGACAGTGGGAGCTCTTTTTTCGAGGCGGGTTGTTCAGAGCGCTGTAACTCTAGTTTGACTAAATATTTTAGCTGAAATTTTATATTTATACTGTCCAAATATGTGTTAATAAATGATAAAAAACTTGAATCTCTAAATATTTACTGGTCGTAGAAAAAAAAATCCTAAAATATCCCTAAAAAACAGGCCGTCACATAGGAAGACCCCCTTAATGTGATTTCATGAAGAATATGAAATATATCCTGCACTAGTATACAAACCGATTCACATCAAGATATGAATTTTCGTTATCGTTAAAATATATCATTGGTAATCAAACTTTTGTGAAGTGTTGCCGAACACATTGCTTTAACAAAAGAAATTATGAGCAACAAAATAATAAATGCAATGAATTTATTTACCTAATGTTTTACGTCTTCTCGATGTATTATCTTCTCGTGCGAGAGATGGAGATGGAAAATTTTCAAAATATCAGATCATTGAAATATTGTTCAACACATACAGATGCTCGAATGTGAAAGTGATTTTTTATGCTATTCAAAATATTTCGTACAATAAATGTTAATAAAGTACAAACAAAAGATGTCTAAATTCAAAAGTCTACAGTCAAAAAATCATTTTGGTTTTAGTTGCATTCGATCAAATCTATTTTAAAATTTCAAATCGTGTACAGATAGAAACTAAACTAGGATATCATAACAGTACCACTTAATATAAAAAGATTCCGAGTAACAATTATTCTGAAGCCTACATACATTCATAAAAAATCTCTATTTGCTTGTTATCATCTATCAAAACTACAGTTGATGTATTGATTATACTAATTCAATGTATTTCTTCGGGACTAGTATACTCGCAATTATGCAAAAATATTCATGTAAACAATTAAAGAGTCAAAGCACTCATAAGTGAATAAATTATGTGAATTTCTGAAACATACTATTTAGGTATTATACTATTTGAGCAATATATAAGCGATACATAAGCTATTGCCTAGGGCTTAAGCGGTTTTGGGAGGCAGAGCAAGTGGTCGACAAGATAGTTCTGCAACTATCTTATATCAATATTTAATACTGTAACTTAAATATTGACTAAGTTATAAGTAGCATTTTGCCTTGAGGCAAGTTGCATAAGCTTTCCGATACGTGCACATTATAAACTTAAACAAGAAGAATTGAGTTTTAAATATTTAGGCAAAATGTTCAACTGTTATTTCAAAAATAAAATTTTCGCTTTCACTAAAAAATAAGCAATTTTACTACACGATTATATAGATCTAAGATTTGTACGCTAACAATTTATAAAAGCAATCATTATTACCAATTTTTACTACTAATTACGAAGCACAAAAATAGAAAAAATTACAAACTTGTTCATAAACACTAATAGTACCAAGTAATGATAAAAAATGTTTTCGTGCATTTTTTGATAATCAACATTTTATTTAAATTGGCCTAGAGCTATTTTTTTCCAAAAACTTCATCTACTAGTATGAGTCAATTTGGCTCACTTCAGTAAAAAAATAGGTATATAACCACATCCGTAAATCTAATGTTAATTAACATTTCAGTTTTTGATTAACACATACGAATAAAGTAATCAAAACATTTCATTTCAAGCATTTAATGCTTATTATAAAGTAGAAAATGTGTGTTCTGCAACCACAAGATACTGAGTTCAAATCCCATTTTACTAATTCATAAAAAACAACTAATTCATCATTCAGATAATGCGTGAAAACCAAGTTGTCTATCACGAACGCGCAGCATAACTATGTTAATTAAAAACATTTAAAGTAAGAGAAAAAGCCAATAACGTGCTGAGCATAAGTTATTTTTAAAACTATGAATTGCCTAATAATACTATTTATATGTTAATATTTGCTTAAGAATTAGTGGTATATAGAGTAAATTATGTTGTACAATTGGTCCATCTTAATCATCCGTATCACATGATATTCATAATAACGCTTGAACTTCAATCATTGTGTTATATATAATAGTAATTATTATGATTTAATAATTATATAAAGAAACAATATGTCAAATACCTTTTATGATTAAGGTGATCAATCATCAATGATATTATTGACTTAATGAGGTGCCATACAAAACCCACTTATGTGTGATTACAAGCATTATTATAGATATTTATAGATTAATACTATCACTACAAAAGTGTTTTCCTTATGAGTGACTACTGTACAACCAGCAAGCCGTTAAAGTAGGTGCACCTACTTGATGCACAAAAAATTTCAGACTATCCATTCGTTATCAATGAAAATATATTTCAAAAATGAAAATTACTTCTATAGAACTAAAAATTACAATAACATTTAACTCAGTGATAAATATTCAAGCAATGTCTACTTTAGGGATACTGGATGATGTCGTCTATAGGGAAAACTCGACACTAGTAACGAAAGTCTTAAGAAGATGCTTTGTACGATTTTACAAATTTTATTGTATAAAAATTATATAAAAATGTTTTTTATTTTGATATATTTGAGTTGAGTTTGTTTAGACATTTTAGGGAAATGATTTAGAGACAAACATTTGCAAAATATATGAGCTCATCAAAAAATCTATATTTCTGATTAAAAAA